GAACATGTGGTGCCGAAGGGGAGAACTTCCCATTCATATATGTTAGGTGGTTCTTCTCGTTTCAGATCTCGCCATAAGAACCTGAGGAGAGGCCTGTCCTCCGGAAGCAGCCGGACCTGATGGAACATGCCACGAATGTCGCTGCTAACGGCCACTGCATGTTCCCGGAACCTCAGTAACACAGCCAGCAAAGAGGGGCCCAGAGTCGGTCCAGGTAGCAGCAGCTGATTAAGATTCGTCCCTCGGAACTCGAATGAGCAATTAAAGACAACTCTGTTCTTTCCATTGTGAGTAACCATATGGTGTGGGATATACCAGCTAGTGGGTGTCTCTTCCTCACCCGATTCCAACTTCTTGATATACCCAGCTGCTACCAGTGTCTGAATCTCAGCATTGTATGCTGCTGCTCTCGTTGTGTCTTTCAGTAATCTCTTCTCTGTGGCTTGTAGGAGAGGGAGGACTGCTTCTTTTGGTGCGTTAAGGTGGGGCATGTTCTGAACACGTAAGAGTGGTGTAGCATATCTCTGAATGCCTCCTACATTCACTCTTGTTGTTCTGGTTTCAAGAATGGCGAGGGCCTCTTTATCCTGGCGTGAGCGGGTACAGGTCTTCTCACTTCGCCAGGGCAGTACATCCATTTGCCACAGCTGTTCAACATGACTGTATATGTCTGCTATAGGTGACAGGGAAGATGAGAACAGACACTGCTGCTCTGACAGATAATGTTTCATCCCCTGTGCTGGGCCTTGGAGAGTCCATCCTAAGCGTGTTTTCACGGCTGCAGGGCCTCCAGGTGGTCCTAGCCGTACTGGTTCTATTGGTGTGATCAGGTGGGGATGATCTGAACCGATCAACAGCACAGGAGGCACACGGTGTAAGGACTGTAAGGGTAAGTCTCTTAGGTGCTTATATTTCTCTTGGAGGGCTTCCACTGGATGTGTATGTTCAGCTAATCCTAGCCGTTTTGCAGTGAATGCTTGGTTGATGTGGAAGACTCGATGTGGGTCAGACGTAGAGGAGATGGTGAAAGAAACCATGGCACCATGGAGAATCTGCAAGTCTTGTCTGACTGTCCGTAAAGGCAAATCCTCCGGGACTCCTTTCAGACCTATCTGTTTAGCTGCTGAGTGTAAAAGGATGGTACGTTCCGACCCATCATCTAATATGGCATAAGCATCCATCGATCTGTCTCCATTTCTCAGCACAACTTTACTGACTTTGAGCAAAACCTTTCGCCCCTCTAATGGCCTGTCGATATATAGCACTTCCTCTGAGTCTTTGGGGTATGGCGTACTACTACACTCTGGCTTAGCTCCTACTTGTTCTCTGTCATCGGTAGCTCTGTCATTAATATCATGCAGCGCAAGTAAGTGTCGTCTGTTACATGTCTTACAACGCATCTTAAGGTTGCATTCTGCAGCACGATGGTCACGGCCACAACGCCAGCAGCCATTTTTGGCTTTAATCCAAGTCCGCCTTTGAGCGGTGCTGATCATCTTGAAATTAGCACAGTTATTCAATGAATGTTTACTGTTATCACAGTAAGGGCAGTACTTCTTAGTTGTAGCTTCTGAGGACGCTGATGGGACGGTCTCCCTTTTAGGTGTATCTGCCAAGCTCATCAGTATTGTTGAGCGACCCATTGTGGCTTTACGGGGTTTAGTCTGCCCCTTTTGCTTTGGTTCTTTCTCCTGTTTTGTGCTGCCGCTGAACCTAGTGTTATCTTCTTGCACCTGGAGCTCATACTCTAACCAGTCAGCAAGATCCAGGAGAGTTGGTATGGGCACGCTGTGCGGATGAATGTAGCGACGAAAGTTGGAGCGAAGGTCATGTGGTAACTTTCCCAGTAGGCGAGAAATGTGTGAGCCGCACTCTAATTCGACTCTGCCCTTTCTGCCCAGCTGCTCCAACATGCTGACCAAGGAGCGTACACGAAGAGCAAACATCCTGAAGGCTCTAGGGTCACCACTTGCAACGTTTGAGCCATCCATCAGTTCAGCTATCCTCTGTAAAGCCAGCTGGTGAGGCTGACCATATTGCAGTTTAAGAGCAGCCATAGTGTCAGTGAATGGATGATTTGAACTATTGTAGGAATCAGCAACCAATAATGCTTCTTCTGTCTTCAAATGATCGACCAGGATCTGATATTTAAATCTCTCTGATGCATCGGGAGGAAGGAGATTGCTTAAAGCAATTTTCAGACGATTGTATTCTCTGGGATTTGGATAACTCATATCAGGAATTGTGGGTGTTGGCCCTCTGTAGTACTGCTCCTGTCCACCTACTGGGCTTAGCGTTCAGTGACGTGAGTGATGGTGTTTGCTCCTTGATGAGTCATCATACTGGCATGACTGAGAAGCATGACGTCTGTGTGAGGGTGACTGGTGTTGATATTCAGAATCGTCACTATCAGATGAACTGGTGTAGTACTTCCTATAACTGTGACGTGAATAACTATCTTCTCTCGGTTGAAACACTGAATAACATTGTGGGGGTGGTAGCTGAGACTCTGCTGTGGTTGTCATTGGTGACCTCTGTGTGGTCATCTGTAACTGCTCAACCAGTGCTCCCAAATGTTCTACTTGTTTACGAAGTTGGGTATCAGAAGTGTTGTGATGACTGAGGGTCTCCAGTTTCATCTGACTGCGCTCGTTCTGACAGCGCAGTGCAACATTCTGTTGCCTTAACTCTCTCAGCTCGTTAAGCAGTGCTTCTTTCTCTCCTGGTAATGCATGTTTATCACTCCAGTGAGAGTCTCTCTCAGGGGGCCACGTCTCTTTAACGGCCCACTGTGAGTTGACAAAATCGTCTTGACTTATGGGGGAGGCTGAACGTTCACCACCCACTGCACCCTCTTCTCCTATTCTATGCTTTACGAGCGACTGATCAGTCTTATGTAATCCGGAAAGATCATAGTCATGCAGGTATGCTGGGAGGGATGACTTCCTCCTGACACGCTTACCATGCTGTTCTTCTGAGGGTTTGGACATCCTTGTCAGTGGTGAGATGTATCCGGCTCGAAGGACCATGAAAAACAGAGATGGTTGACTTTGGCCTCTCTTGGACTTGGGTTTAAAGCACAGCCCACCACTGAAGTGACTATTAGATCACAACTTTATTCCACATATCGGAGGTGTGGTTATGTTCATGGATGCACACCAGAAGGGGGGTAAACTTGGTAATACATTCCGACTAACTGGAACTCCGAACACAGTGCTATTTAGCCCCTCACACGGTGGCTAATGTGACACACTCTGAGAACTGGAACATACCACTCGCGGGGGGAGAAACAAGAGGGGAGGAAATGGAATAGTCCAAGTGACATTACCCTTTTAACAACTCCCTTTAGCTGAATAAAGTTAGCGTCATGCTTATTTGCAGCTGTCACAGTTAGTTATAAACTGTTTAGTGTTGGTTTATTACAACTGAGGTCCTATTTTCATTATTTGTCATAGTTTCTATTGTATTGATTGTAACACTGTACACCTCAAATTGCTTGCTGAGACATTTGAACACTGTAAGGTCTGACAGGAAATATGAGCATTCAGATGATCTTACAGGTTTATCCCTTTGGAGTGTATGTCCCAAAATAATTGGCTGAAATCATCTTTGCAGACAGGAGCACTCAGGTGAAAGAACGTGTTAGTTACACTGTAATGATTTAATGAAAGAAGTGTAGGGACCTGCTGGAAATCCTGCTCCTCTGCCAGGCTGTACTCCACATCACAGGCTTCCCCCGCTGCACACATCCCGAAAAGAGCGGCTTTCAACCACACCAGCTGATCAGGTTCTGGCTTTACTGTCTGAACTGATATGAGCCACCCAGAGTGTGGTGTTGGTTGTCTGGCTCTTCTCTGCTTCACAAAGTGTGAACTGGTTCTTTTCCTTCTTGCCGTGAAAGTTTTTTTTTTTTTAGGCAGGACTGGACTTCTGGAAGCTGCAGTCAGATTGACAGATTGTGGGATGTGTTCAAGATCCACAGCAGCAGGATTAAAAATATGTGTTTATTATGCTCAGTGTCCGTTCTGGGGGTCTTCTTTCTCGGTACATTCCTCTTACACTCTATAATTACACTATTATTATTTTTACTAATACTATTATATCCTATTTTGTTTATGTCACGTGCACGGCCAGCACCTCCCCCACGTGTCGGCAGCCGATCCAGGCGACTTGACACGCCCAGCACAGCTGATTTCCGTCTGCCCGGTTCCACTTAAACCGGGTGCTGGCGTGTTCTCGTTGCCAGATCGTTGTATGCTCCACACCGAACAGATCCTGGCTCCTGCTTCCTGCTCAAGCATCTTGATCAGCGCGTTCTCAGCTCGTCGTGAGTACCACGTCCCCCCTGTCTTTCCACCGGCTCTACGCTGCGTCACCTCGGCGTCCTTCTCAGCTCTCTTGGCCATCTGCTCTTCTGCTGCCACGTCCTCTCAGCCTCGACCAGCCCACTGACACCACCGCCACCGATCTCTGAACGGTTCCCATCTCTCCGGTGCTTCGAGCCCGAGTGTCGCATCTTGGGCCCTCCTGCCTCCGGGCGTAACAGTTTAGGAATTAGATATTAAGATGTTTTTTAATAAAAATGATTTTGTTGTTATTATTTTGAAAACATTAAACCAAAGGTACTTTTGCGGTTGGGCTTGTGGTTATGACTGAGAAACATCACAAATTGTCTTCCAAACCTGAGCTTTACACTGAATGTGTGAATGCATTATTTACCACTTCTGATGCACTACAGCTGGCGCTGAACGCAACATATAAGGCCACACCCCCATGCGCGTTTTCCATTGGCTACTAATGTTTGTGTCCAATCAGAATCCTGCCAGTGCGCATGTTACACTGCCACGACAGACTTCTTAAAGGTGACATAGAAAAAGTGACCCGATCAACTTTGAAGATGTGCATAAAAGATAATTTGATCGAGTCTGAAGTTCAGACTCTGAACAGTGACATGCAAGTTTTATATAGATCCACTGTATATAACTTTTCTTTGTGAGCAGAAACAATACAAACAGAAGATAAAACAAATGCAAATAAAAAAAACTAAACACAGGGATCATAAAAGACTGGGGGATAAGATGGGATGATGAACATATTACACAATCATAAACACTTTGCTATAAAAGATGATTAAAGGGATTTCAAGGACACTATGAATGTGGTCTGTCTGACCTCAATAGCATTCAGCAGTGTGGGCCTTTAACAGCAAAGGTCAATGATTACTTTTGGTTACATGTGGAGACCTGGGAATAATCAACAGAGTCTCATCCACTGATCCGAGGATGTCCGGCACAGAGGGAGTTAATAAATACAGCAGTCTATCATTTACACTCATTATTTTGTTGTGCCTTATCTGTGCATTAACTGCAAACCTCAGTTGATGCAGCCTTTCACTGTTGACCACTGCCTGAACAGATGAACAGTTCAGTAGCTTCCTTGTGTTTCTGAAATGCAAATAAATTCACCTCTTGATGAGAGCACACACACAAATGATTCACTGAATGGAATATCAACATTCAGATACAGCAATCAGTTTAGTCTGTTTTTTATCTGCATACTGTTTGAGTCTCAAAGCGATCTATTGCTAGCAACGTTAGCACTGTAGTGTTAGTACAGTGCCACCAGGAGTTTTGGAGGGGTAAATACTGTACCAACCAACGCCGAATGGAAAGTGCACCCTTGTTTTGCTGCAATAGTGTGATTATGCCTATAGCAGTTACATTCTGTACCTGTTGGTGAAGAGAGCTCTGACTGATACAGCATTAGCCGCACAGTAGCCCAGGCAGGAAAAATAAATGCACGTGTGTCCTTATGTAAATCTGTAGGGGAACAACCTGATTTTGGAGATTTTCTTTAGTTGAAAGAAGCAAGGCTGGATAGCATTCTTCACATTAACATTAAAACAGAGGGTTGCACATAAATGGCTTAATATCTGTTTATTTTTAAAGAAATCAAGCTTACAATGTGTAACAATCCCTTGACAACCACTGGAGACAAGAACCATATCAACAACTTTTGACACTCAAAGGAAGCTTGAGCCTGCTGAAGAATCACCAAAAGCCTAAGAATTCTTCTACTGGTCAGTCTCAAATGTGTGTGATTCAGAGGTCTGCCTCCAGTATGACCTCCTCCCAGTAGTCCTTGAAAAAAGACACATTGGCATTGTTCTGGCAGAACTCACATAGCCCGGGCCAAACCTCAGGGTCAACGTAGGTGTAGAAGATCAGGTAACCTGGGAGACTTGGCAGCAAAGCTTCAAGCTGAGCCAGAAACACAGCGCAGACTGAAGCCAAACTGTGGCCAAAGATGTTAATATGTAGATGCAGGGCATCATGGCGGTAGGGGACGGCATATGGTGTGGTGCACAGGCTGATAGCAGAGGGTTCCAGCTCATGATCGGCAATCCATGTCAACCCCCTGCGGCGCAGGACCTCCAGGTTGGCCTGCACTGGCTTCAGAGGCTCCCAGTCATTGATGATGGTTTTGTTGGGCAGCAAATTGGAAACCACATGGTCTGACAAGATTAGCATCTCGGCCTGCTGCTGGTCCAGAATGACCAGGCTGTGGGAGGAGGAGTTAGTCTGGCAGGGAAGTCTGGACTGAAGCTCAGCAACAAAGGGGCCAAGGTCAGTCACCTCACAGCACAGAGATAAGATGGCCTGCAGAGGGCGACACAGTGAAGACCAGGAGCTCAGGTCTGAGGTGGAAGTAAGTCTGGTTTACTTATTCTTTGATAAGATATTGATTGATTTTATTTTTAGCCTACTCCTAACCATTAAGACTACATTATGTTTTTGTTTATCCACTTGGGGCAGTGCAGCATATTGTCACCTTTTCAGAGTGCTGCAGAGGTACAGAGCTGTTTTTGCTCCTAAGCTGCTGAATGATCCAGTGTGCTTACCATTTCCTGTCCCCAGAGTGTACCGTGTGGACAGACAGTTGTCTTCACAGTGTGACTCACCTCTTTTGCTATGATTCTGTACTTAGCCAGAGTCTGTGGTGAAGGCTGATTCCCACGGGCCAGCCTGACAGCAGAGACTTCTGGGTAATGGTGGCGGACATAGTCAGTCACGTGTTTCTGGATGGCGCTGGCGATGCCGCGGTGTCTCAAATCAGGTGCCACCCTGAGACCCTGAAGCACAACTGTCTGACCACCGTCCACCAGCAGTGCAGACTCCAGCGCCACCTACATGTCACACACAGGAGCGCCACCTACAGGTCACACACAGGTGAACTTTGACACTCTGGACTTTGTGGGTTTTTGTAGCAATGTCTTCAGTCCTCACCACTCTGTTGTTCATCCTAGCGATGAAGACGACGCGTCCAGGCTCCTGCAGCCAGCAGTGGAACATGGGAGCCATGTAGTCCAACCCATCGAAGGCATCGCTGCTGCAGATGTTCAGGACCTGCATTGTACATAGACAGCTGTCAGCACAGCAGCTGTTTATTGGAACCTCTATAAAGACTGATATGCACACTGGAAAACAAGACAGTACATAACAAGGAGCATGCAGGCAGCATCCCTGTGATTGACTACTGTTGTATTCTCTTTGTTTGTGCAGTCAGTGGCTTGTGGTGCAGACAGACCCTTGTGGATTCATACAGTCACCAGGACGTGGGAACCATGAACTGGCCTTAGGAGCAAAGGCTAAAGCTAACACAAATAGCATATGAAACAGCTAACATACTAACTGCACAACTTGGTCTCAACCTTTGCTGTGATGATGTTCTCATTTCTGCAAACTAACACTGATACAAAAAAATGTTGACAACTCTGAATGTGCTTCACTGCTAGAGAATAAAGTTACTATAGATGGATAAAAGTGACGGCTTCCAGCAGTTGTTGATTGAACATAATGATCTATCTACCTTATATTTGTCTTGTTATTTGCAGCTGTCTCAGTTAGTTATAAACTGTTTAGTGTTGGTTTATTACAACTGAGGTCCTATTTTCATTATTTGTCATAGTTTCCATCAATTATTGTAACACTGTACACCTCAAATTGCTTGCTGAGACCAGAGCACAGCTGAAAAAATGTGTTAGTTACACTGTAATGATTTAATGAAAGAAGTGTAGGGACCTGCTGGAAATCCTGCTCCTCTGCCAGGCTGTACTCCACATCACAGGCTTCCCCCGCTGCACACATCCCGAAAAGAGCGGCTTTCAACCACACCAGCTGATCAGGTTCTGGCTTTACTGTCTGAACTGATATGAGCCACCCAGAGTGTGGTGTTGGTTGTCTGGCTCTTCTCTGCTTCACAAAGTATGAACTGGTCCTTTTCTTTCTTGCCGTGAAAGTTTTTGTTTGTTTGTTTTTGAGGAAGAGACAGATCTGAATAGAAAAAAAAGGGGGAAAACTGAGCTGCGTTCAAGATCCACAACACAGCAGTGTTTGAAATGGCTGTTTAAAATAGCTGCTCACCATCCACTCGGGGGGTTTAGCTGCTCTCTGCTCAGAAGAAGCACACAGACAAAAACACAAGTAGGAGCTGGTGTCAGGACATGTTTGAGACTTCAGTTAGGGGTGTAATAATCAGAATGATAAATATCTGTGATTTGTGCCACATTAACAGTGCTGTGTACTTTCTTGTAGTCGGTTTCTAGCTTGCAATTGTGGCATACATACATTCAGGTCATGGAGCGACATGTACTGTAAATGTTTGCCTCTGATAAACGGTTTGCTTAAAAAACTGCATAAACCAAACCACATTTCCAGTAGAGCAGATTCTTCTTAAACAGGCTGACCAAATGCCTGTTTGAAACAAACACTGTGGAAGTGAATGCAGCTCATTTGTTGTCCGATCACTAAATATGTGAAATAAATGTAAATTAACATTCCCTTATTGATAACTTATTAAATATGAACTGATCACTGAAACCCAGAGGTCATTTATTAATATAACAGGAACTCCTGATGCATCTGGCAGTACCTCATGCATTAAACCATCATGCATTAGTTAAACACTAAAATACGTGATTTGTACCTTCCACGCTTTTGCTTTTAAATCATAGGTTAAAGCATTGTATTTCTGTTTACAGCTGCAGAAAACACATTCCTCATGCCATGTTCTGTGCAAATACGTTTTCTTTGCATTGATTTAGCCCGTTTGACTCTGAAATGGAGTGACGTCCAAGTATAAAGTAGCAGAAACTGAAATACTCAAGTTAAAGTATATATACTTCAAAACTGTAGCCTAGTTCAGTACTTTCAGAATCTACTCGCGAGTGTTGGGATCTAACGCTAAGCTATAGAGAAGCGAGGAAGAGGCGCAGCAGACAAACAGCAGAGGGCAGAGAAACACCAGCGCAACGTCTTCTCGGAAGGACACGGAGACGAGGACGCTGCAGAAGAAGAAGAAGCGGAGGAGTTGGAAGAGGAGGAAGAGGACTGGTTTCAGGCTTTGGACTGGACTCCTGCGGGCTTCAGAAGCAGCGTGTCGCGGTGTGTCCTGCGGTCCGTGAGCCGCTGTGTGATGAAGACCCGGAGGCTCTGACCCGGACCAGCCTGGCTTCTCTCACAGTGAGTCTGCACATGAGGTGTGCGGGTTGTTTGTGGTGGTCCGACGGATCCAGGTTCAGGCCCTTTAATACACTGTTACTAACAGGCCTCACACGGTCCTGGAGCGTCATTACAAGTTTGTGGATTTCAAAGCACAGCTCAAGATTCACCAGTGTCTTTAACACAGGGGCGGAAGAAGTACTGAGACCTGTGTGTGAAGTCAGACAGACAGTACCAGAGTAATCCATTACTCAAAGGCAGCTGGCTACTGTTTACATAAAGTCTGTTAAAAGTCACAGCTGTCGGTAGACTCGTTATTATTTGTTATTTACAGCTGAAGGCAGGTTTGGGCCAAATTCACCGTCAGCTGATGTCTGATGTGAAAAGAAGTAAATAAAGCCCCTTAGAAAATAGGCATCAAATGTTAATGCGCTGTTACTGTTTATTTAATTAACTTGTATAAAGTGGAAACCATTCACCAGTGAGGGGGGCATGCAGGCAGCCTGCTGGGTCAGTACTCAGTGACCCCCCCCACTGATGCCACAGCTTGAAAACTCTTCCTGGATTGCAGCTCCTTGTTCTGCACGGAGCAGGCTGCTGCCCTGTGAACACACACACACAAAGTCTTTTTTGGGAGCTTTCATGGTTTATTAGACAGCTGATAGTAGGCACCCAGACCTGAAGCTGGGAGATCTCATTTCATCCAACGTGTGACTGCAGGGTTTTTGTTTTTGTACCCAGGTTGCTGTGTGAGCTGAGAAATAAAGTTTGGAAGCCTAGATATCAAACTGGAAACACGTTTAGCAGCTTCTCAGGTTTCTCAGGTCAGACTGGCCCTATCAGAGGCTGGGGTGTGTGTGGTGTGTGTGTCTTAACTACCAGGATATCCTCCTCCAGTGTTGCATCATGTGGTTGTTATGATGATTCAGACAGACTCTTTATTCTGCTATTTGCTTTGTGTCGTGTTTTCTCTCTGTTACTTTAGTTTCATGTGTTTGCTATTATTGCAGATCTCTCTCTCTCTCTCTCTCTCTCTCTCTCTCACACTCACTCACACACACACACACACACACACACACACCTCACCTTTATACTTCTCCTACTTGTGAGAAACCTAAACCTGATTCTGTCGTTAACCTTAAATCTACATTTGAAGAGGTTCATTTACCCAGAAGACAACAAACACACAATATGTGGTATCTCAGTTATTTTGATTAGTTGATCAACATGAAACTAACGTGCAACTATTTTCGTCTTCTCCAGTGGAGGCTTTGCTGCCTTTTGTTGTTGTACAGTGGATGTGTTTGGGCTGTGGAGAGGTTGTTGAACCAAACAAGCCCCGCTAAGGCCTCCGCTCTGGTTTACAGAGTATTTATTATTACCGATGGCTAAATGAAGACGTATCAGATGTGAGAGTAGTGGTTTGTTGCAGCCCGACACACTGGAGGTGAAGAGATGCTGTTTGTGCCGCTCACAGCCTTGAATCATGACGTGAACACTCATGCATGCGGCTCTGGGAGGGTGCGCTTCTGCTGTGTTCGCAGTGAATGGGGGCTGGGAGAGACATGTTAATGATTTGTGAGCGTTCATGTGTTATTACAAAGATAGTTGCATTGACAAAATAACACCATGTCCATCATTTCTCTGACACACATTCCTGTTACTGGATCATCCAGTTTGTACAGGGACAGTTTGACCCACCAGCCCTTCTTCTTCTCTGTCAGTGTGCTTGGTGAACAGTGTTACTCTGGTTAAATGTGTTTTTAGGTGATGGATGCAGAGAGCGGGGAGCTGTTTCTCGGCGGTGATGGCGTGGTGGCGGCCGACAGCTGGCAGCTCGACCAGCTCGTCTTTAGCAGTTCAGAGAAACCCCTGCAGGATTGGGTGGTGGAGCCCGACTGCGTGAGTTACCTAGCTGTGTGTGGTCAGTGGTGCAGGGGAGTTGCGTGCAATTTTTATTCTAAAGCTTTAGCATGTTAAAAATGTTTAACCTTGGTTATTTTGTGCACAGAATTGGTCACACTGTATGAGAGTGATTAAAGTAAAAACACTGGCTGGTGCACAAATGTCAGCACCATTTAAAAACCTGACTCTGTCTCAGACGCTGAACGACAGCGAGTCAGAGGACGTCCTCCACGGTGTCGACCCAAACGAGGTGTTTCCCAGCGCGCCGCCGGCAGACCCCTCATCAGAGAGTGACAGCGGCATCTCTGAGGATCCTGTCGTTGAGAGTCCTGTCACCATGGTGACCGCAGCGACCACTCAGCCGACCCCGGCCACTGTCTACCGGGTGGTTTATGACATCAGCGGGCTGGGAGGTATGAACACGGATCCTGGACAAGAAAACGTCATTTCCATTGAGCTTGGTGAGCGTCTCTGTTGTTCTGTTTTCATAGTTGCTCTGGAGTTGGCCCACACAGGCGTCTGGTGACTTATTCTCACAGAAAGTTACTGATTCAAATCATAAATTTGTCAGTTTTTGAGAAATGTGGCTTTTGTTATATCAAAATAAGGCGTTTTGGTATTGTATGGCACTAACACAGACACAGACGGTGATAAATATAAGAAAACCCCAGACTGACAGTGTAAACCCAACCAGCAGGGTCCCTGATCAATCAGCTGATCATTGTCCTGATGATCTGATTGATCTGTTTATTCCCAGAATGTCAGACACTGGGAAAAAGTCCCACTGTGACTTTCCAAAGCCAAAGGTGGTGCCTTCACACATCTTGTTGTGTCCAACCAGCAGATCCACACTCAGACTCAGCTGATTCTCATGACAAAGAAAAGCATCAGCTCCTCACATTAAAGAAGGTGGAACCAGAACATGTTGGTGACTGTTGCTTCTAAATAGTTGACAGTCAATTTTCTACCAGTGAACTGACTCATGGCTGCAGCTCTAGGTCACTGAATGGCTTCATGAGGACGACACAGTGGGTTGGACACAGTGAGATGATCTGGTTTGGAAGGAGGATGTTTCCTCCCTCTGACAGAGGAGACCTGACGCTGGTCTGGAGACACAGCCCTGACTGGGCCCAGCTGGGCTCTGGGTGGTGGTTTGGCCTGTCAGCTGTCACCCATGTTTTAGTAGCTATTCACAACAACACCTTGTCTGAGTTGGTGTCAGAGAGAGGAGAAATAACTATGTAGATCAGTTGTTATTTACTTTATTTGTCAGTTCTACGTGTTATCGTAATGTTTCCATTACTTCCTGTCCTGTGCAGATGAGTGGAGCTCTCAGGTGCTGTTTTCAGACTCGTGCATCGTTAATGAGCTGCCACTGGTTTCTGCAGCTCGCCTCGATGGCGGTGTGGACGCCATCGATCCTCCCAGCCCTGATGCTGATCTGGTGAGACTTCAGAAATATCAGGAAGATATTTTGTTTGTGTGACAGTCAGAGTTGAGGACTGACTCTTCTGCTGTTGCAGCTGTACCCAGAGCTCCATCTGACTGAGGAGGAACAGAAGCTGCTGACTCAGGAAGGAATCTCTCTGCCCAGCAACCTTCCTCTCACCAAGGTCAGACTGATGAAACCCTGAGAAGACCTTAAACCTCCCCACTTGGAGTTTTAAAACGTTTCTGGCACTAGTTGAATCATCTCATGAAGCTGCTTCGTCCATGAAAAGTTTCCCTGCATAACAAGTGACACAGAAGCAGCAATTCATTGGTGCTGAGTTTGATTATAGATCAACAGTGATGTTGGTTTTGAGTTAACATTTATTTGATTTGATTTGATTTGATTTGATTTATTCTTTCAAACATGTAGAAACAAATGATATCAACACACACATAATTTACACAAATCCAACCAATGCTAATCCAAAATCAGTTTGCTTACACCTAGTACATGTTTGAATGGAGTAGGAAGAAGTCAGACTTATCCAGTCCTACCCCATGACATCATCTTATACAAAAAATTTCATGCATCATTGGCTGCAAGCAGTATCTCAACATAGGTAATTCACTTCTTCACCAGACAAGTAATACACAGAAAATTTAAAACAGAGTGTTTCATTCATGCATTCTTGATTAAATCTCTTATTCTTGCATATATCTTGAATGACACATACTTCTATATTTATATTTAAACTCCTCCATTCTAGTACTGTTTTTTATGCCCACACTTAAATTATTCCATAGTTTTACACCACTTATGGAAATACAGAATCTTTTTTTGGTTGTACGTATAGCATGAACTTTTAGATTTAAGTGACCCCTTAAGTTATATCCCCCTTCCCTTTCATCAAATAACTTTTGGATTCCACCAGGTAATAAGTCGTTCCTGGCTTTATACATAAACACAGCAGTCTTATAT